ATTATATCAAATTCTTAATTGTAGTTAGAAAGAAATTATTAAAGAATTGGTGATTATGACATTATCTGATGATAGTAAATGCAGTATCACCTTCTATATCTTCTTGTTGATTATCAGAAGCTCAAAAAATTTATGGAATTAGTGTATAAATCAACCGGGAAAAATATAGAAAGTTTATTGACAGGGAGTTACCAGGATGGAATTTTAATTTTCGTCTTATTGGTTCAGCAAAAAAAGACTGTGTAAAGCACATACTCCAATTCTTGCTAGACAATGGGTGGAGCGATCTCAATGACAGCTGAGTTCAACCACCTACTAGTTTGAAATATAAAGTAAGATCCTGTATACTTAGTATAAAAAAAATAAATAATCAGAAAAAAATAATAGTAGGCCAAGTTGCATTAAAAAAATATACAAATCTAGTTCTGCAGAAATATTTTGATTATCTCAGAAGTTGGAATATTGAAGAAAAAAATTCTCAATATTTTGTATACTTTAGCCAGAAAGCATATCTAGAATGTCCACCATGCAATTGTATATATGACAAAGATTAGCGGTGGTTTGGTTATATATATAATAATGGGTTATTCGTTGTGAAATGTTTTCAACAAAATAGAGATAAACAGAAATAATTTTCAATAACCCATCTATTGCAGAAAAAATCTAGCAAAAAAATAATATTTCACTACCCATTATATATAAGGTAAAGGATCCAAAATTTCTATAGCCTTTCTTAAAAATACTAGCTTAGGTTAATTGTGATTCCTCTCTTATTGCAACAGAAGTTTATAAAGAGCAATATATGAAACCTTTACCTAATGAAGGGGATGTATATGTAGGCTTACTTTGGGGGACAGGAAAAACTCATACCTTAGAACACTTTACTATTCCCGATAGTATAAATTTGCTTGCTTTATCTATATGATATACTTATTCTAGTGCTATCACTACAAGGCTGAATCTCAAATTATACTGTGATATCGATACTAAAAATATAAACCTCCCAGATCATCAAAGAGTAGTATGTCAAATAGAAAGTTTGCATCACATTACTAATAAATGTAAATATGAGAAAAAATGTGAGTGTCCTCCAATACTATATGATTTATGGCTAGATGAGGTAATATCTGTGATTAGTCAAGCCTACACTCACTTAGCAAGGTGATCAAGAGAGCATTTATATAAATTAATTCATGAAGCAAGGCAGATTATTGTTATGGATAATAATCTAACGGATCTCAATATAGAATGGATTAAAAGCCTTCATAGAAATAAACCCTTCTCAGTTATCTACAACACTTACTAACCCCAGAAAGGTAAAACATTCTGCTTAGCATCTAATAAAAAAACTGTATTAACTGAACTTTGGGATTGGGCAAAGCAGATATCTTTATTACCCCCAATGAATAAAAAAGTGTATCACTCATTTGCCATCTGAGAAAAGATATACAAGGAATCATTCGTGCTCTTAAGGCTGATTTTTCTAAGTTACGTATTAAAAATCATCATGGTAAATCTGATCCAGTAGAAAAGGCTTGTAATTTTAGTAATGTAGAAGAAGCGTGAAAAGAGGTGAATCTTGTTGTATATACTAGCACTTTAAAAATAGGCATTTCTTGTATCAACTCTAAGTTTGAATGAGCATTCTGTCTCTTTAATAGTTATATAGAAACAAATACTAGGACAAATCAGATGCTATTCCATATGAGATGTATTAAAGAATACACATATCACATCGAACAAAAATCATCAAATCTTCCAATTACCGAAGAGGAGTTATTCTACTAGTTGTTAAAAGCTAAATGCGAATCTTTCTCTCAAGAGTTTCAGAATAGAGGAATATTTCCTGATATAGAATCTATTATTTGAAATAAGAACATCCTAACAGTTCGATTGTGGGTTGCCTACATATTGGAAAAATTCTAATCTCATCATTTATTTGGATAGAGAATAGTAGATTTTCTTAAAAAGGCAGGTATGGTAGTTTTTATAATAAAAGTCACTCTAAAAGCTAAAGATGATACCATGATATTAACTAAAGCAGTAAAGAGGTATTTTTTAGCTATTAAAGCAGAGAAAATTTCAGACATTGCTAATGCCAATATTCTCAATCATGAGATGGTTAAACAGCTAGAAAACAAGCCAAAGAAGACTTTAGAAGAAATCTATGCACTAAGCTGGTATCATATTGCAGATTGCTATAGGATCTCACTTAAATCTTTAACAGAGGAATTTATTACAAATTATGGCAAATATGATCATATGAAATGGTTCAGAAACCTCCAGAAACTACGAGATGCAGGCATTAATAATAAAATAGCAGTTGAGGCTATTATCTGTGAAGATTATAGAAATGATAAACTTACAATTGCTAAGAAGTATCAAATTTGTCTGGAATTACTAAAGACTTGTACACCTATTAAAGATATTGATGATTGGGATAAATATATAGCTGATATTGTTAAATCGTATTTAGAATCATCTAAGTCTATGAAGTATCACCAAGATTTAGTATCAAAAATGGTCTGAGTTTTTGATAATACAAATACGTCTCGTAGTGCTAAAAAATCTGGTTTAAAATCAGATAAAGCGAAACTTGGTTTATTAAATTTAGCACTTTCCACAACTTATGGGATAAAGTTTAAAGCTACTAACAATAAACAAACCCATTATCATCTAGTAGGTTCATTCGATAAAGAAAGTGCTCCAAAGTTGCTACCATACTATACAGGTAAAGGACAATTCTATGAAAATAGTGAGGATATACGTTATGGGTATAGTAAACTCTCATCTGACGAATTAGAGATCGCTCCTAGTTCTGATATATAGTTGCATCAAAAATTGTTTGATATCATTTAAAATGGGTATTTAGGATCTATGATATATCTTACAAGGAGGGTTTTTGTGTCGCTTAAAATTGATACTTGTAAAAAAATCTATTATGAAGACTATTTTTGTGACACTAAAAACTAATATCTAATAAAAGTGAATATAATTATTTATCTGCTTCTATTCTCTGCGCTTTTTGTCTCTTATACCAATTTTGAAAGTAAATCCTCTTCGCATGTTTAGGACAATATCCCATCTCATAAATTGTTAGTTTTCCACAGATCTTACAAGGAAATTTTGCTATATTCGTATCATATAATTTCTAGTGCAATGAATACCCTATGTCCCACCAACAACCTTTTCCACAAATCGAACCATCTTTTTTAATATATAGGCAGGTTAAAATATTACTTTTAACATATTAATATGTTGAATACTCTGAATCGTTTTCTTTAATATATTGACTGATTGAATACCCTATTCAAAGTGATTTAATATATAACGTATAAAGCCTGTTTTACTTTTTATGTAAATATATTTAATATAAAATCAATTTAAACTTTTTTAAATTATTTTGTAATAATATAATTGAATATATATTGACACTATATATCACACTTAAAAATAGAAACACACCAGAAAGTAGTCAACTTATTAACCAAAAGAGAAATCAATCACAATAGATCAATATTCTGCAAACTAATGTGTAATGGTTTTAGATATATAAAAGATTTAGCTGAATTTCTACAATTACCAGATATTATAGATTATTATTATCTTGAGCAAATTAGATTCATAAATGTTCTGTCCCATCCAGCTATAATACCACTGATTGATATAATGAAAAATAGACCTGATATTTACAAGAAATAGTCTATAAGTATAGAAAAATACTAAAATCTATTTCAAGCATTATAAAAGAAAAATAAATTGTAAATCTTAATTTAGCCTGAATCACAACTCCAAGGCTATAAATTTTTTTTTTGTTATATCCTACGTATTGGTAAATTTTAAATCGATGTCCCAGTCTTGCTTATGCAAGTATATAAACTCTTTTTTTCTAGGTATAGGAAGAAAAAGCGTAATTATGAAAAAAGAATCCTATAGTATATATCAGATGAAAATAGTCTACATAAACCATCTCAATTAACATATGTGTCAAAGACACTAGCTTCGCTATACTAATTATGGCAAAAATCGCTACATCATTTGTAAATCACTACACATTGACTCCTCAAACTAGTTTACCCTAGCTTAGTAGTTATGCCGAAGAGTTGGCTAATAAACTTTCAGATAGTAAAACAAAAGAGCAGGCCTGAAAAGCCAGAGATTAGGCAAAAAAATGCTTTCAAGAATTGGGATTAAGTAAGGAGCAAGCTGATACTCTTATTCCTATTCGAGCTCCTGGGAGACATGTTGATGAAAGAGATCCCATTAAAATTATTGCCCAAGATATTATAAAAAATAATCCTTTACCTGAAAAAATAAATGGAATAGCATATGACTTGGCTTCTTCTGCTCCCGCTACTGTTGCAGAAAATTCTCGTCTTAATTTATTACGGAAAAAATTGCTTAAGCTTAGGAGCTGATTATCTCATCATTAAGGTAACGAAAATATCCTTTATTACCGAAAAAGCAAATCAGATTCAAGCAAGAAAGCGTATACTTCATGAAATTAATAGTTATAATTGTCCTGAGTTCTTTTACCTGGAAAAAATTCAGAAAAGACTTGCGAATGTGATACTACCATGCCTTCTTCAATGCAAAATCTAATAGGCATAATGATAATGCTATGTATACGATCAGCAGATATGAAAAATTTTCATATCAACCGATACAAACCAAGTCACGAGTCATGGTATAATCCTGACTATTCTTGGTACTGTATTGGTTATGCAAAAAATAAATGTGAGGTAGAAGAACCCCGGCCATTCCTTTCAATAGAAAAAAATTTAATACAAGCAAGAGAATTACTTATTTGGATTCAGAGATCAATACCGGATAAATTTCCCTTCTTGTTAAAGGATAAAGATGAGAATACTAATGTTGCTCCTCTTAATCAATTCTTAAGTTACTATAGAATTACCTCATATATATTAAGAAAAATAGGTACCGATCATGCTTCCAGAGTACATAAAGATAGGAATGATTCTCACTATCAATATTTATAGCAATTGGCATGTAGACATAAAATAGATCATGCTTCATCAGTTGAACATTATGGTGTAATGAATAACAGACCAAATACTCTAGCACCTAAACAAGAAAATAGTGAGGTTGAGGATATCATTGACCTATATAATTACTAATTGCACTTCTTTGCTTTTATCCTATTCAGAATTGGACCTAGACTCAGATAAAGATAAAGATTCAGACGAGGACTCAGATGCGGTATTATTAAAAATTAGTTTTTTTTTAGTATTGCATTTTCTTTTAACCTCAGATAGTGTACAATTTCTTCAAGAAATATCAGGGTTTGCTATCGAGTTTATAATATTCTGCTGAATCTTGGGTTTCACTATTTTTAATAATTGATGGAGAGATATCTGAATTTTTTTATTTGACACATATTTAATAATGCGAGATATCACACTATTACCATTTTGAGATTTATGATTATTTTTTAATATAGCTTTATTCATTGTCAATATCGTGTAGTAATATGTACCTTGGTACTAGCTTCACTATTATTTATTATATTAATACATAATAAAATTTAGAATAAATTATAATTATTTTTTTGTGATGTCATGTGTTTTAATCCACGAATCAGAGATCAGCATAGAAGTATTTCGGTGCTAACTAGCTCACTAACTACACTTATTGCAGAGCAATGACCCTTTTGGTCTACTCTTAAGCTAAATTTTTTATCTATGATTGGCAGTGAAGATCAAGCGATCCTGGCCCATACTAAATAATTTGTGAATGAACAGATCACTAAGTCCGAAATTAGTTTTCATAAATCTGCAAATTAGGGTTGTTAGTCGTGAAAAATGAACTATATAAAAAAGCTAAGTATAAAGAAATTTTGCTATAAAAACTTATCTATACTTGCTTCACCAATATCATCATGTTCCTTGCTAATCTTCAAAACCTCGCTTTTAATATTTTAAAAGAAACAAAACATAGTGTGGTACAAAATATTAACATTATGGAATTGCCACCATGTAAAATATGTAATAAAAAAATTTTAACAGTTAACTTTGAATCATTTACAATACTTCCATGCAGTTATACATATCATAGGAAATGTATTGAAAAAAATTTTTTACTTACGGAAGAGAACAAATGCCCTATTCCTGATTGCGACAAAATTGTTGATTCAGTAATATCTAAACGAAGGTTTTCTGAATCATCTTAGTCTAGTGGAACTTCGGCTATTGCAGATATGTTAGGCAATAATCTTGGATTAAATTCACCAATGAATGTATCACCATTATTAGAAAGTGAAATACAAAAAAAGCATGTTGGTGAATTTACTGACAAATCATCCAATAAGAAAACAAAAAAGCAAGTTTTAAAGAAAGATTCTTCTATATTAAAAAAACTTATTGAGGAATTGACATCAATGATACCTGAAAATTCTGAAAAAGTAATAAAAGTCAACGAAAATACAAATAATTTTTTATACCATTATAACAAAATTTTGCAGGCTAAATCTAAAAATGAAATGGCAAATAGAGATGTAATTGAATATTACTTTAACTTTGATATAGTTTTAAAAAAATGATTTGATTATTACAAAAATATGAATCATGGAGAACGCGCATGTTTAGCCTTGGTTAATGATGAAATCTAAAAACAACTTCCCGATAATATCACCAATGATGCATTAAAAAAAAGAAAGAAAAGATCAGGAAAAATATATGATTTATTTGTTAGTATTGGTAAAAAGAAAATAAGTGGTATTAGATCATTTTTGGCATCAAACATTTCAAATCTGAGTCAAGAAAATATTGATTATATAATCGTTGAAGTTTTAAAAAAAGGAGGTAAAGTTTAATCACTACTGCGCCACATTACTGTGCTAGTGACATGGATGTCATATCTGAATTTATAAAAATCATGTATGATATTAACTATTGGATTCCACTTTAATTAATAAAACACTTTATAAAAGTTTTGCCTATATCAGGCTAGTAATTTTTAACTAATATATTAATTACTTATTACTGTACAAAGTGAACTGATTATTGAATAACCCACATCGGGCCTAGTAACATGTGTTAGAATTATTTCGCATATAAATTTATCATCTTACAAGGCTTATCATTATGCATAACTTATTTGTGAGACAGAGCACAATCTCAAAGTGCTATTTTTCATTTTTCAACTGAGGTGCTCCAGCTGAAATTACAGTTGAGTTTGTGAATTTGTTAGCTAATACAAAAAATATAGTAAGTAAAATTTCATTTTCATAGATTCCATTAAATAAAATAGCAAATTACTTTAAAAATGAATTACAAGCAAGTGGACAAGTAAATATATATATGAGCAAAAAATAACACTATTACTGGGGTCCAATAAATAATGCATAACAATTATCTGAAAATTTTAATCAATTGCTTAAATCTCTATCTAAATAGTATCATACAACCTCAAGCAGGGGGACTTTCTCATTTGTCAGAAAAGCACGGGATTTTTTATATAGCAATCAACCAATCAAAAACTATATTGTCAGCACATGATAGAAATAGATAGATAATCATTAAACTATACAGCCAATCAACAGGCATAATTTACATAGATTATTTTTTCTTATAGTTTAACTTCAAAGTAAAATAAGTCATGTTTTAGAAGAATAAAACTATCTACACAACTTATAGTAACAATTTAATAAACTAGCGATTTTACTAGAAATGTTTTTAATAAGAAGTTACATGTTCTTTATTATATTCTTTAACTATTATATAATTAATACAAAATTATACTATCGTATATATAAAATGACTTCTATTAAATTAAATATTCTCTAGAGAATATACAACTTTCGAAAACAGTCTGTAAAGCTTATAGTAAATCAACGTGTTAGTTATTTAAATGATAATAGATAAAAAAAAAAAAAGAAACAACAACGTTGAACTTTATGAATTAAGCAGTACAATATTTTTTTATTACCTCCTATTATACAGTAGACAGTACTTCAACTCTTAATAAATCTACCTTTTATTGCGTAATGCAAGCTTAATGCAACTTGATGCTTAACAAGATATTCGTTATGAAGGTATTTTATTAGTAAAGTATAGTATGTTTAGTTAGTTTTTTTTAAGTTTACCAATACCCAAAAACTTTGGTTTTATACTACTATCCTATATAAATGCTTGTGTAATATCGATCCCAGAAATCATCAGAATCGAATGTCTCCCCTGCAACATAGGGTGGAAGCACAGAGCTCATGGGCATGCCCCATGCATGCCTTTAAACCAAAAGGTATGCCTCTACCAGAGGCATGCCTCTAGAGGCATGTCTAAAAATTTTCTTGTGCCCCATATAGTATATATATATATATTGCTATTTTGATTGGCTAAGATCAAAAATCAGCACCATTGTATGGATTAAGGCTTCATTTGCAAATAAATCTAAATGTATAGGTTAAAATTTTTGATATAGAATGTTGTAATTGTTAAAATTAGGTGCTATACATAAATGATTTATAAATATTATATGGCTTTATAATTTGGTTCATAAGCAATTTGCAGCTAAGAAAAGCAATTGATCGATTAAATACAACAATGATTTATACTGTAACTATTATGCGGTTTCTTAAATGGTTTCATAAGTGATTCATAGGCGGATTATTAGCTGAGTTAAGCAAAATACAATCATAAAATTTAATTTTACCAGAGATCATGCAATATCACATAAATGATTAGATTAAATTTTTAATAATTCACCAAAATCAAAAAAATCTACCTTTCTTGCTTACAAATAAAATTTTTTAAGATTTCTCTTATTTCCATTTCTGAGACTAGTAATATACAAGAGCTGAAAAATGATCTCACTATCAGAATTTCGATAATATCAGAACTGGTATAAAAATTAACTAATATATTGTTAGCTAATCAAAGGCTTGTATTATAAATTCCTGACTTCCAGATTTCCAGTAATGGTAATGTGTAATGCAATAATCACAGTAATTTGAAAAACACTATAAAAAGGTAGATTAGATATGATGATTCCAAATTTAGGACAATCTGATAATGCTAACGCTAAACCTTCTCTAAATTAATCATACATTTAAATTTATTTCTTATTTGGATTGTGAAGTCTAAGCCAACGGCCAATACAATTATGTTAAAATATATAGTAAAAGCCAACCGAATTGATACGGAAGACATAATTATAAGATATTATAAATAGGTTGCGAAGAAATGGGATTATATGGCCAAAATTAACTGGATTGCAGAAAGCATAATTATAAGCCAGAAAAGCGCATAAGTTATTGTAAATAGATTGTAAAAAAAAGGGATTATATGGCCAAAGCCAAACGGTTGGTGCAAGAATCATAATTGCATGGTATTGTAAATAGATTATGAAAAAAGAGATTATGCATGAAGTATAAATATACGATTAAGATAAATGCATGAGATATTGAGAATGGTTATAAAAAAAAAGGAATAATAGTATATAGAATTAGATCATTGCAAAATGACGCTTTTTAATATTGTAAATAGTTTGCGAAGAAAAGGGATTATGTGGTAAAATTAACTGGATTAATATAGAAGACACAGAAAAGGTGTGTAAGTTATTGTAAATAGGTTGCAAAAAAAGAATTATCCCTTAAACCGTCAAGCGTCCATATTTGGATGCTTAAATTTATAGCCATCATGTGAGTTTGTGCGCTTTGTTTGGGTCACTGCACTGCAGCTATGATTTGTGTCATGTGGCTTGATTCTTTGAGAGTCTTTGTAGCCAATTAGAATAAAATTTGGCAGAATAGCTTTTTTACAGAGCTCTATTTATATTTAGAGTTCAAATTTGAACGCCTTATTGGGACAGTTTAAGGGATATGACCAAAGTCGCAAGAATCATAATTGTATGGTATTGTAAATAGGACATGAAAAAAGAGATTATGCATGAAGCATAAATGTATGATTAAGATTTAGAGATCATAAGCATATGAGATATCGAGAATGGTTATAAAAAAAATAGAATTGTAATATATAGAATTAGATCGTTGTAAAATGTATTTAAACTGTGCTTTTAAACTTTGAATAAAACTTGCAATTCAACTTGTCTTCTAAATAAAATCGTTTTCTTAAAAACTTTTTTTTATTATAAAAGTGATCAATTTCTACATTATATTAAATTCATCACATATAAACAACTCTTAAATTACTATTATCATAATTAAATCATCCCTTTAATAATTATTAAATTCGAATCATGAATATTCCTGTTGGTTTTGCATTACCACTTCCAACACAAGGTTATCGCTGGAATAGTTTTTATCGTTCTGAAACAAAAAGAGATAGAAGTGGAAATAGATATACTACAAAATGCAA